CCAGGTGCGGCGCGGGCGACAGGTTGTTGAGGCGCCGCGTGGGGGACGACTCCCTGGACGCGTACACCATCTCTCTCTGTGCGGAAGACAGCCCGGGACCCCACGGGGCTGGTCACGCAGGGGGTCCCTGCTTGGGGAGCCGGTATCTCCCCCCCCCCTGACTCTTGGGAAGTCCCTTCTGTTCTCTGCCTTCCCTCGCTCCTGCTGCACCGTGGGCCTCTCCCTCTCCAGCTCCCAGATGGAGGGAGAAGTGGCACCGAGGGACCACCCGCAGCCCTAGGGTGAGGGGTGGGGGGGCCCAGCGGGAAGGAGTGGTTCCTGGAAGGGTCACCTAGGATCGCTGGAGGCCTGTTGGCGAAATCCTGAGCAATGGAGGGGGGGGGGCAGGAACAGGAGAGAGGAGGGACCCCCACATGACCCCACAACTAATGGAGGCCCCTCTGCTTCGGTCTCTATGTTCCTTTCTCCAAAGCTGGCCCTGGTCCCTGATGACAAGGGATTGTGCTCCTGGACCCCATCTGCCCAGCCCCCCTCCCATGCCCCGGGCACCCCCAGCCGTACCCGGAGGTCCCCGTTGGTGAGGTGTGAGCCAGGGAAGGCGGCGTAGAGCGGCTCCTTCCTATAGATCTTGATAATACTGCGGTCCTGGATGTCCCTGGAGGGCGGGAGGATCACAAGTCACCACCCCCCAGCCCTGCTTGGAGGTGGGGCGGCTACTCCAGGAAGCGGGGAGGGGGCTGGCGAGAGGGGCCAGGAGCCCAACCCCTTCCTAACCCCTGGCTCAGTGGCTCGTCTGCCTCGCGCTACCTGCCACCACCACCATCACCCCCCCCACACACACACACACACCCAGCAGCCTCCCTCCCGTCACCTCCTGGGGCTCACAGCCCGTGTCAGGTTAGCTCAAGGCTGGGGGAGCGCACAGGGGATTCCGAGGGGAGGAGGTGGGGCTGAGACGCCGGGGAAGGGGGCGGGGCGGAGAGCGGAAGGGCTGGCGTTGGGTCGGGTCAGCAGGGGGCTAAGGAATGGCCTTCGAAGTCAAGCCCGCCACGGAGAACTACCCGGAAGCCCACCCCTGCTCCACCCCCTCCCCCCGCCCCCGCCGGGGCCACGCCCACCGGACGTCCTCCAGCTCGTAGAAGACGTTGCGGGCCTCGTCTTTGATGAGGATGGCGGTGTTGGGCGACTTGAGCATGCCCATGGTGAGCTTCTGCGGGAACATGTGCGCGATGAGCGCGTGCAGCGTGTCCAGGCTGCTGACCTCATGCGTGATGTGCACGCGCCGAGTCTCTTCCCCGAACTGCAAGAAGAGCACCCCTGCGAAGGAGACGC